TTGTCAAATAATTAAAAATTGTCGATAGGAAGTTAGCTACACAGGCTGCGTTCCACTTAACGTTCACAACGCTCGTAGAATCATTTCATCCTTGCTCGCGAGCATCATTTGTCCTTGTTTAACATTTGATAAACGACAAGGATGAAATGATTCTACGAGCGTTGTAAGCGTTAAGTGGAACGCAGCCATAATAAGTCGATTAGAACTTGATTGATTCGATCTTTAATATCTGTAAGCATAAAGCCTGTTTTACAATAGAGTGACATTTTTTGACATTTCTTCCGCAAGCTTCTTCTTATTTTAACATGAACGCCTTCTCTTTTGGAAAACGATAAAATCATATTTTTAGATTTTTCTTTACCGAAAACATTTATATAGACGTTTTTATTTGACATGTACTCATTTTCGCGATATGTCACTTCAAAATTACCGCGGCAACTGTTTAAATATGGCTGCATTTGACATGTGCGCAGGACCGTACGAAGCTCGTCTCGAGAACGAGCACACCGAAATAAAGGAGCATTTATACTGGCTATATTTATTATACTTATTTAATTTTTTTTATTACATATTTTTATTAATTTACATTTAATTTGTATTTAATTAACATCTTACAGTTTACGAAGTTTTGTAACAGTTATTTATATATTTATATAAATTTTAAATTTACTTATTCTTTTATCATACATTAATGTTAGATATATTTGAACTTCTCGTTGCTATTTGAGACAAAATTTGATTGGCTGATTGCTCTGATTTTATGCGCGTTGTTTCGCCTGTATTCTTCCATCATATATAATACAAGATTTTTTAATCCAACGAGCAATCGCATTATGGGCAAATGTAGCGTTATATAACGAAGCAAAGTTGCATTTGCGCATAATTCGATTAATCAATTGATAAATTAATAAACTCACCTAAGGTTAAAAATAATTGGTTATTTATATGAAAATATTTTCAAAATTGATATAGCTACGAATAAAAGTATAAATAATATCTATACGTTTTATCTTTTGTTATAAATATTTAAATAATTAACATGATGTAACATTATAAAACAAAATATTAATAGTATAGATCATAAATGTTGAAAGTATGTCATGTAGGTGTGATATAGAATCGCTAAAACGCTAAATACATTATTATTAACTATAATGAAAGATCTATTTAATATCAATTCGCACATACATTCTTATATGTAGGTGTGTTATCTTGCTATCACATAGCAAGCAACAAAACGTAATAATTTAACATAAAAGTAGGAACGGTCATAATTATGCTTTCAAGGATATCTCGTGTTTATCTATTTATTTATTATTTTTTAAAAATATGCTTATTTTATCTATATTATCATATTTCCGAATTTTTAAATTTAGATTACAATTTTTTCTTTATATTTGTAGAAAATATAAAATTATCGAATTAGGAAAATATACGTATTATAATGAGAGAGATACGTAAATATATGCAGGATGACATTAAAATAATCTCACTAATAGCGTATTCTATTTTTTTTTAAGACAAAAAGAGATCAAATAACATTATGGTTCCAGAAATACTTCCTTTCCGAGATATAAACGTTGTTTGTTTATTTAATTGTCAAAATTATTTAATTGTCAAAATTATTTAATTGTCAAAATGGATTGAAAAAGCAGATAAGCAACATTACTTTAACTTATAAATGCATCTCAAAAAATAAAGGATTCAAGATCAAAATTAGGAAATCTTGAACGAACTTGTGTAACAAATACGCGAGATGACTACGTGTGACAGTTTCATAACGTTGAGCGTGTCACAGGAAGATGAACATTATCCACTCAATGTACTCCAAACTACCACTTTATTCTCTATTTGAACGTAAAGCTGCTCGTATTATCCACAGCCTTATTTATTTAACCCACATATTCATGTCAATTCTTTGTGGAATGTTTCATCTTCCTTCTTAGTCCAAGTAAAAAAAACAGTTGTTACTAATGAATTTAATTATTTATAAGGCCAAGGCTAGGTCATATTATCTAATAATAGTGTTGCGCCCGCGCAACAATATTTATATGTAAATTCTAAATGCATTTCTAAACACACACCTTTTAGCTAAAATAATACCACCAAAATTAAAATAATTATCATTATTTCAATTTCAGCTTCTGTCTACGTTTCAAATCCAATAATACGCGGTGTACAATTTATATAATTAAAAAGTATATTTATAATTTACATACAAATATTATTACCCATCAAGATCTAGCCTTTTACGTAATATGACTTTTCTAGCCACTAAGATCTAGCCTCGATCATATTGGTTCTTCCTTTACTTATTTGATGTAAAAAGCGATCTAAATGAAGATATTATTGTTAATTATATTTGTATAATCTGTTATGTATATCAGAATTCATTTTAAAACAATAATTAATTGATAATTAAATAACGGACGATGGAGAACAGTAATATTGCGATACGTTATGACTTACAATTGATTTCAAATTTCATTTTTTTACGATAAAAATTGAACGCTCGGCGATATTTGTGCCATCATCAGTGAAACCCAAACAATAATTTCCATTAATTTGTACAAAGGGTAGTCACAATACCCAGGTAGCAAGCTACGTCGTTTTGACGTCAAATGACGTCATTTTGACGTTAGCTTGCTACCAGGATAGGTTCCAGGCTTTGATTCCAGAATGCAGCAAAATGAGCCTCTTCAATTTCATATATATTTCAAGAGTGTAACCATCAATTAGTTATTCGGTTAAATGAGCGTCGCTGCAAATTGTGGCATATTAAATAATAAAGTACGTAAAGTTAATATATACCTATAAATTATAAATTGAAGAATTCGCTCTGGTCGAGCAAGTTATAACAGGATTATCCTGTTGTCCCGTTACTTCCCGTCATTGCAGATTTGTGCAGATATTGTAAAAAATTAGATAAATTATCAGTAGTTTTTTTCTGAACACAGAATAAATAATCATGGTATAATGTCACAATCTTAGACATTGAGCCATCGTATCAAAAAAGGTTGAGATTAGAAATGATATCTATTAAAAGATAATGTCATACTCAACAAAAAGAACGACAGTGATATGTTGTCTAAGGCCGGTATTCATAGTCGAATCTTATATTCAAGACCGTCTTAAGTACAGCCTTGAGATGTCATGAATCAATTAGAGAACTGTATTAGTATCTTAAGACACTACTTAAGACTGTCTTAAAATAAGAACGAATTATAAATACCGCCTTAAAAGTTATTTGCATGCCTATCTTGGAAGGATTATTAAGAGTTCAACGACAGATAAATTTGTTCCGCTTTTTTATTTTAATTGCGACCTTTTACCATCTACGGTCACTAATTTTTTTTATAAAAGGATTGGAATGAACATTCACAGAACAATCATGGCACAGGTAATAAAGTTTAATATTATAAGTGTAAATTAGATTATTGGTAATAAAGACCATTGTGTAAAATCATCCTGCTTTAATTATCGATTTAATATCCTAATTAATATATCGGAGACATGACTGTCAAATCACGAATAATAATAGAAGTATCTCAGATAATTTTATAGAATTTGGAAATTCTAAGTTTAATTATTGAAATCTACGACCGCTTTATGAAAAGAGTTCTCACAAGCACCGAATTCCATTTGAATTGGATTTTGACGAGGTCAGTCAAGATGAACGAAGTGAGTTTTGAGTTGGTTTTTAATTATATATATAAATTTATAGAGCTTTCAATATTAAAAATAATATTACAATAAAACCAGGCAACTAAGAGCTAATACACAGATGTTAATTATTAATGTACGTTAACAATTCTTCTTTATTTTTCCTCTATACATACATTTCCGACGTTTTGGCTGCTTTTTTCAGCCATCTTCAGGGTATTACATACAGTAAAAAATCCAAACTTATATGCTATTATTCGTGAATGTAGGCGCAATCAGCAAATCTTGAGTAATTCTCCATTCGATTATGTGAACGACTCTTCTTACAATTCAAAGATTGGTAAGATCGGTTTTACTAATAAATTGCACCTCCATTCTGTTACGTACAACTTAAACTCAAAATTATATAAAATTTTTCGATTATATAGACCTATGTCTTCGTCAGTGTCTACGCAACGTAACGTAACGTAAGACACAGGGCTAATCGACAAATTTTATATAATTTTGAGTTTAAGTTGCGCGTGAATCTTATTTAGTAAATCGAGGATGAAACGTAACAACTTTTAATTGTAAAGAAATTAATGTCGAAAAAATTTTAATTAGATAATAATTTAATGTAAATCGATTTTGATTAGATAAGAATTGACGATGACTTGATAAAAGGATAGGAACGTTTATTATTATTATTATTATTATTATTATTATTATTATAAACGTTATTATTATTCAGAGGTGCCAAAGTTTACGGGTTATCGTCATGTCGTGATCCATTGTTAATGTCTCGTGAATCTTGCCGTTTATACATATTTTATCAGAGCGCACTGATATACTGAGCTGCTCCTCCGGAGGACTCCCTTTATATAAACTCTGTTAAGTTATTATTATTATATTTGGTTTTATTTCGCAAATATATCCAGAATAAAGGCTTGTATGCTCATTGTTATTATTGTTAGTGCAACGATGAAAAGCTCTTGTCTGTCTCACGGTATTATATATGTATTAATTTTCTTAAATATAATTAATTTCTTAAACAAATATATAATTATGTAATTATCATAAAATAAAGTCATTATTTCTACAACATTCATGGTAATTGTTTTCAACGTTTTCATAAATTACTTGGAATATTGATTGGAAAGTGCTACGAAATGTGTAATAATAATAATTATAAGTACGAATCCAAGTAAAAGATTTCATTCAACGAAGAAAAATTGATAGGTGTTTTGTAAATTAGTTATAGTTATTTGTAAATAAGTCGTTTACTCACCATATTCTTCTCCCACCTCAATATGTTCGCCTCGCTCCCCTTCCCTCAGTCGTAACCATTTATTCGTTCAGTAGCACTGTATAACGCCGATGTTACAGTTAGTGTGCTTGCGCCACGCTAGCGCTGTACATTAATAGTGCTCAGTTTTTTCAATTCGTGATTCTTCCTTTCTCTTTCTTTTTTGTTTTCGTATTTTTTGATTTTCCATCATTCTCTGACTGTTTTTTAACCTTCTTGTTTATTTTTCTATTCCTTTATATTTGTATTTATTAGTTTTGTGAGTACTGCAGTATTCTGTTCTACATTAGTGAAGCTTTTCAGTGACTATTTATTCATCAATTGTTCTAAGGAGAAGAAGCGAAGAAAGATGAACAAAGTCTTTAGACTGAGATTTGTAACTCTATGCAGCATCATTTTGTTTTTGTGCTGCAACGGTGAGTCATGGGAATGTGTTTGAAAATATAAAGTTTTGCAACTTTGTTTTCTTATCTGGGTTTGAGATGTATTGATAATTATTTAAACATATTATTAATAGAGAGTATTATTTATAAATGGCTGATGTTAATTTGTTTCTCCTTGAAAAATGCTATTAAGTAACAAAATGTAATGGATTTTTTGTTTAATCTCAAGTTTATGGAATAATATATCCTTTTGGCTAAAATCAACATGGCAAGAATCTTCTTCTAATATCTCCAAAATTACTGTACTGTACCACAAAATGTTTAAACTTTTATTTTTTGTTTTTTCGAAAAATTTAAAATAAAACATTTTTTATTAATTTTGCATAAACATAATACAATGTTAATAATGCTTTTACTAGCAAACAAATTAATTAATTATTAATCATAAAATTGTTGTTGCAAGATTTTTAAATTTATTTGTTAAGTCAATACTTGTAATTTAACTTGTAAGTTTTACACAAAGACTCTTATTCAAAACAGGTTTTTATTGATAAAAACGCACTTTTATCTCTGAAATTCTATAATATGCGTTACATAAAGTATAGTATGTTAGCTAACATCGTTATAAGCCACAAAGAACGTTTATAAAGTCGTTAATAACAAACTGAAACTTTTGTACACTGCATTATAAATTTTTTTAATGATATTTTGTTGTTGTAACTCTTCTCATCTTTAATGGATACGCTTGCTTGGAGATAAAATTTAAAAAAGTCAAAGTTTCTATATATATCTATATAGGTAGACGTTTCTATATATATATAGATCTTGCTGAATATTATCTTTTCAAGGTGACACGGACTGCGTTCTGAGATTCACTCCTAGTGTTGAAAATCTGTAGTGCACGTAACGTATGGTAATTTCAGTTACATTTTCAATACTAATGAATATCGGAACGTATCCATAGATATGACTATTGATTTTTCTATAGCGTAACATAATTAAAGATTTGATAAACTATCTACGCGTATGTAGTAGTAATTGATTAATTAATTAATGTAATATAATTGTGTTTCTGCATATAATGATTATTCTTGTGTAAACCCGATAATTTTTTTATATTACATTTATGTTATAATGTGTGTATATTATATTCATATTATAAATCCGCCCTTATTCTTTTTTTGTTTCATATAATATAGTAATAACTTTAAACTAATAGGTATAACTTTAAATATAATTAAATAAGAAAGTTAAATGCAACTGAAAAAACAATATTTTTATGATAAATATTATTTTATAATTAAACAATTAAAAATAATTTTTTGCAAAATTATGTACTATTTTCATAATGACTTTTGTGAGACGCAGTCACATATACAAATCTAAATAATTATTATGAAAATTATGGTACAATATGTCATATGTAAAAGCCAAGATTATATAAAATTAACGTCATGTGCTTGATTATCTCCTTTGCAATGATCTTTAACCTCAATGTCTGATAATGAATATTGAGCGTAATTTTAAGGAAATAGCATAAGCCCAGACAGCACAGAATTATATTTATGATAAATATTTATGATTATTCATTTTTTGAAATGTTGTATAAATATTTTATACGTATTTTATATAAGGCTTTGTTCAAAATATTATTGAAAGATAGACTAAATATTTAATGTAATATTTATGATAAATATAAATAAATATTTCTGTTAAGTATTTCTTGTTTAAATTATAATGTCTTATTAAGTATTTCCGTAATATTTACTACAAGATTTACAATAAATATTTCAAATAAGCCTTATAAATATTTACAAATATTTTGTAACTATTTTATAAATATTGTTTGCTGTCTGAGAGCAAACTGAATCAAAGGATAGTATATTTGATCACTGTCATTTAATTCCTTAATTTGTGATCTTTTTAGTTCAAACCTAATTTCTTAGTATCAAATTTTATGTGTGTATATTATATATAAAAATTTTAATTTTTCTCATTATCATTACGATGTAATCAAAAGTTGCTTTAAAAAATGTTATGTATACGTATTTGCGTATGTAAAAAATGTTTTGAATTTAATTTATTTACAATGATTTGGTTTGAAAGACTTATTCCACGAACACTAGATAACGATAGCGCGAAAATTTAAATTTATTTATATTTAGTACATAGAGATATAAACGTTTCGGTCTGTAATCAGGCCATCTTCAGTATTAAAATTGATTCTTTGTAAAATAAACTTAATATAGCGACTCAATCGATTCAATACATATTCTACAATTAGATTTCGAGATTGTTACACTTAACTCATAAATTCGCACGTAAATTAATTCAACATAGTCAAACGTCATAACATATTCCAATCTGTGGGCTGCACGACAAATTGTTACTCTCAAGTCAGATCACCATAATTCGTTATATTATAAGAAGTTGAATAATTCTAATGAAATTTATATAATAATCGGTCAAAAAATAAATTTATGAGTTAAGTGTAACAATCTCGAAATCTAATTGTAGAATATGTATTGAATCGATTGAGTCGCTATATTAAGTTTATTTTACAAAGAATTAATTTTAATACTGAAGATGGTCTGATTACAGACTGAAACGTTTATATCTCTATGTACTAAATATAAATAAATTTAAATTTTCGCTACCGTTATCTGGCGTTCGTGAAATAAGCCTTTCAAATCAAATCATTGTTTTCATTTGATCCACGGTTCTTTTATTGTTTGTTAATTTATTTAATAATTACAAACTACATGTTCTGAATTTAATTTATTTAATAATTACAAACTACAATTAAATACTTTTGGTACACATATAACTTATATTATACAAGTTTTGGGATCACAATATGAAATGTAAACTTTCCTTTAATGAGCAATGTAAATCTACATTCACATGCAGTATACACACGTATTTACGTATATAAATGCGTACTTATAAAAAAATAAGAAAAATACAAATAAATGAATTATATTTTACAGGTGGCAATGCTATGCAATGTTATCAGTGTAACAGCCGCAATAATAGCCAATGTGCCGATCTTATTCCTCCAGATTCCATGAAAATAGATTGCTCGGATCTTAAAGATGGTGCAAAATACACAATGTGCCGAAAAATTACACAAGTCATCGAGTTTAGCGTCAATGGCTGTATGTGTTAATATTATATTAATACTATTAAATCAACTATTTATTTATCTATATTATTATGTTGAATATCAAATTTAATTGCTTATCTATTCGATAACGCCGGAGTGAATTAAATTTTTACTATCCACATTTTGACGAAATATTATGTGATTCAATTGAATTATGCAAAACCATCATGCTTAGTTCGTTTAATGCCTTAGATTATTTATTTCAATATTATATTTACAGAATTACTAATGTTATTTTTTATCAATTTAATCTTTGAGCATTTTTTTAAATTCAGTAGTACCGCCGCTGTAGTTACGATTAGTCACCGTGACTAGCACAGCACTTAACGTGTTAACACTGAACTACCAAGACGATTATTTTGACCGGTTCGCAAAGTTTTTCGCATGTTATTCGTGCGGTTTTTGATTTAGCGCAATTTCATTCCGTGACTTTTCCTAAATATGTAATATGTATTGTACGATGCCATACCATTGGCTCTATCATTAACGCATGATCGAGAATTTCATGTTCTACCTAGAACTACCAGAGCGGTCAATTTGATCGGATGCGTTAAATCAATAATATAATACCAATATAAGTTTCACATTCATGATAGATACTTAAAAAAGGTACTTTTTACGGTTTAATTTAATTTAAAAAATTTAAAAACATACTGTATGATAATACAAACGTGTGTATACATCAAAAATAAATTTTCTCCTTCCTTCGTGGACAACCAAAAAATTAAAACTACAAAAGACTATGTAAAATAGAGTGATCCAGAAGGACTTAAAAAATAGAGAAATATTTTATGGTCAGACGAAATCAAAATAAATTTGATGGAAGATTTTATGTGAGAAGACCACCAAATCAGGATTTTTGCTACCTAAATATATACTAGAAAAACCATAAAATATTTTTCTATTTTTTAAGCTCTTTCCGGACCACTCCATTTTACTGGTCTTTTACAAATCTGCATTTTACATTCTTTAAATTTAAATATGGAACTTTTTTAGCAGCTCTACCATTTAAATTACATTCTTAAAACCTTTGTCGAATTGTACGTGCACTTATAGAAAGATTGAGTTCATTTTCAATTTCATCTGGTGACTCGAATGGATCAATCTTAGAAACGTATAATTTTACGATCAATTCGACATGTAGTTTTTCGCTTGGAATCTCTAGTTTCTTCATCATTTTTAATGCATTTTCTACCAGTTTCCTGGAACGATCAGTAATTTGAGTAACTTCCCTTTGCGATTTTCCTTTAATGCGTAAAATTACATTTTTTATTTTTTTATTAGCTTTATAATGAGTATATACTTTGCATCATTTAACTGTAATTTTAAATAATTAATTAAATTTTGTTATAATTTTACTATATAGACCTCTCTCTAATCTATAAAATTATAATAATTAATACGTAACAGACTGTTTTATATTAATTAACTTACATCAATTATTTGGTTTTATTATTTTGACCAAACTATTTATAGCGTAGAGTACTTTAAAATTTTCCAATACGATATACACTTTATTTCAGCAACAGTTTGTTATAATTTTTAGTGTGATATGAGTTATTGTTACTGTACAATAAATGGGGCTACAACAAGTAAAGATAAATGAGTAAACTAAGCAGTTTATTTATTTTAATGAAAGTAGCTCTATTTTTATGATCACCACACTGTATGTACATTGAAATCGATTTTGTCTAATTAAATAATTTTTGTAGCGCATAAACATATTCTTTGCATTAGCCGTCAAAACGACTGCTGTGGTAGTCATAAAAGGTAAAAAATCTTGGTAGTTCTAGTGTTAATTAAATTATATGATGATTTACTTTGTACACATATATGTAAAGAATTCATCTTACCGAAACATATATAATTGTATGAAAGATACAACATTATAAAATTATATGTTTGCGTAAAATACAACGTTTATAATGCTATAAAAACGATTCAATTATTATATAGAAATAATATTTAGCATAAAACAAATTAATATTTATATAATGAGATAAAAAAGATTAATATTTTTTTACACAGTACCACCAGATACGCGAGTTATTCGAGGATGCGGATGGGATGAATCAAATTATAAAGGCAAATGCTATCAACGCAGTGGCTTTGGTGGTAGACAAGAAGTTTGCTCCTGTTTAACTGACTATTGCAATTCGGCAATGCCTGGATCCGGAATTTGGTCTCAACGTCTTATTTTTTCATGCATCCTGATCAATTTATTGCTAATGTTTTCGTGGAATTAGATATTCTTAGAAAATATTCGAATTCGTTGGATTTAATTATAAAACTATAATGAAGATTAGAGAGAAAGATTATTAGGAATAATATTAATAATGTAAGATTAATATCAGCTCTTTATCAATGTAAAATTGAATAGCAGATAATTGAAGTAATAAAATTATCATCAATGTATTATATTAAAGCGTAAGAAAAAATCGAGAAAACAATTTTATATTATACAGATAATTAAGAAAGACGGCCATATTTAGCGCTATGACACAGTTATAAGTACATGCGCAACAGCAAAGCAAATTCTACCTAGTTAATTCTTGGATTTCTTGATCTCAGTAACTATACTGAATTGATCAAGCTTTTAGTAAGCTTACTTGATAGCTTGGATTTGAATTATATTTAAATGTTTTTTTTCTATATATACATGTCGTATATGAACGACGATCGTATAAAGATCTGAACTAATAAATTTTTAATTAAGAAATGTCATTTATATCGTTCTTAAAAAATATTATTTCAGCCTTTGATGTAGTATTCATAATGCTTCTTTTAAACATAAGGCGGCGTTGACATGTTTGCAGTTGATAGTTCGAATCATACAATAAATTTATGTAAAAATAGAAAATAATAATAAATAAAAAGGAAGATGTAATTAATATAAAAGATTATAACAAATAAATATGTTGCGATTATCTTGACGAAACACAATCATATCTCTTGGTCAAATAGCTTTAATAGAAATTACGCTATAACTATATTTTATAATAAAACAGACTTTTTTATATCGAGATGAAAACATTTTAGTGATTCATAATAAAAGTGAAATTCATTTCAAATAATTATAGGTCTGTTCGCGTTGTTTGTACTTTTTGCATTCATCATCTTCGCTTTCTCTCTTTTCAATGTAGTAATGTATCTCATTTTAAGTTCAAAAATTTTTGGGGATTTTAAACAACGCGAACATACCTTATAACTTTTAATCCTAATATCATCTAATCCTAGTGATATTTTAGAATATGAAATTTATTATTGTAAAAAGCAATTTTAAAGCGAGAAAAAACGGGTACATTGAGCAGATCGTAACAGTTGCAAATTGAAACTGTTTTATGATTATCTGCTGAGATAGGACTATTCCTCTAGATCTAAAAATATAATCCAATAAGCGCGAAGAAAAAATTTATTGTAAAACTTCCAACAGTTGGAAAATAAACATTCTGTTGAATGCAACCTCTACGAAAGAATAAATTAACAATTCACCCTCTCAGTACACTCCATACGAGGAACGTCGCAATAATTATACGACATTGCATAGATATGATGATATACTTGTAATGTTCCTTGGACGAGATGTGCTATGTGGGTACCCTTTTTTAAAAAAAATAAAAAAGGCGTTAAAGACACGTGTTAATTAAAATTATAACTTTCTAAATTGTACGAGTACATATCTTAATTCGTATTCAAAGATATTCCCATTCAAAGATACAATATTTCTGTTTCAACTCAAATAGTAATATTCTTTATTTCAATATTCAAGCGAAAAAAGCATTTAACGTAAAAAAAACTTGACGTTGCTAGAACTAAAAATATGTTTGATATATAGTCGGTATAACTTCGTGATATTATCATTAAATAATATTATTAAATTGAAAATACTATCATTTAAGAAATCATACAGGAACGCACTCTTAAATGGGAATACGATCACTTGGATTTTGTATTTAATTGGCGTACGCATACATATACTTTAATAGGGGAGGCCAAGCGGGGATTTTGGCAGTGTTGCCAACTTGGGGGTTTTCCCCCCAAATTTAGGGGGTTTTTAAGCTGCGAGGGGAATTTTAGGGGGTACAAAAATGCTAGGGGTTTTTTGGGGGGGAATAAATGTTCATCAATCATTGGCTGCGTTCAGCAGACTCAGCAGTTTTGCAACCGTTTTATTGTTCGTCGCGCTGATTGATTTATACTTTTAGTTTTAAAGGAATAGTCCAATCTCAGCAAAGAATCATGGGTGCGATAATACTGATGGTCAAATACTATCTAAAGATTGATAATATATCATGCGTTAATTTTAAGCCAACGGAGGCAATGATAAAAAAATTTAATGTATCTATGTACGATCATAAAAATCAGAACGATTGTCACGAAATCAACCTGTTTTACGAGACTATGGAAATAAATAACATATAAAATTGTAAAATATGGTTTATTTAAAAAAAAATAATTACATAGTTATCATTATTTACTTTTTGGCGATTTGTGCTTCTACAAAAATTAAGATTTAGGGGGATTTGGGGGGGATTTCAAATTCAATCTGGGGTGAAGTTAGAACAAAGGGTTGGCAACACTGGATTTTGGGATTTACTCGAGCGCGTCAGAATAACATAAAGGGAGAAAGCTTGCACCCTAATAAGTACCCCCACCACATATTAAACCTCTATATAGAGCCGGGGGTCCAGGGGAGCCCGTTAGATTAGTAAAAAAAAAAAACGATCATTCGAAAAACTCGAGCGCG